TTATTTCAAAGCATGGGACACTGAGGGTCCCACCTTCATGCTAGCGGATAATCTTTCCGCTTCCAACATTTCTTTATTGCATTTAGAACAGAAGTGCCTTCTAAAAGGCTTCTGAACTATATCATAGCAACATTAAGAACTTTAACTAACAAGAAATGCTTCGGAGTGCATTCTTGGCTGGATCCCCTAAGAGAATTAAAAAGAAGAATGGAAAATATTTTGGGATAAATGCTGGTAATCAAGATCACATAAGTGCTCTAATGTGGGACTTGAAGAAGGAAGACTTAAAACAATCACAGTGTTCGTATGCTCCCGTGACCTTTTATTAAGACATTAGATAAATATATAGACTATAGTTTTAACATATGTTCATGCTGGTGTGCCAACAATATCCATCACTGCCACATCCAGTCTGAATATACAGAACCATTATGCAACACACAGATATGTAAAGACAATGAAAAAGGATAGTGTTGGCGCGACACTATACATCTCACATGTCTTTTTGGACTGATAGTACCCTCCACTGCCCTGTCCTCCACTAGGTGGCAGCTACAATGGAGCTGGGTTTGCAAAGGAAAACATGGAGTCATCTACAGGTGTTTAGCTATAGAAGCTGGTGGCTCTTTGTATAGAATTGGATAAGGCATCTTTCGTAACAATGTAGTTCATTATTTCTGTGATTTTTTAATGTTCTTTTCCTATCTAGTTAATTCATTTCTTGCATAGAATATAAATGAAAATTTCAGAATCCTTTCCCCGGAAAGAAGTAGGACAATGAATTTCCTTTATTTTTAAACAAACATATAAAATATGTTTATGAATTTGGTCTGAAGTATCATATTTAGATACATGGGGTTTTTTTGTCAAACGGTGCATTTTTCATTAACATAGAAAGTAATGAATGTCACTCTAACACAAAATGGTTAAAGGGTCATTTAACTAGTTAATTTTGAGGTAGAAGGTGCAGATTATATTTTTCATAAATGCACCAATATATAACATTTAAAAGCAGTTTATCACTGAAACATGCAGGCTACTCTTAAGGGTAAAACAATAGAACATTCACTTTACACAATCCCATTTCTTCTGTAGCTTAGGTTCTTCTCAAAGTGTGTCACATTTGACCCTTTCCACAAAGACAAGGTCTGTCTGAAATCCTCAAAAAATGACTATGGTCATGTAGGGATGTCTACCTGCTTTCTTCACCACAATGCCCTTTTGATATTCCCCTTAAAGCCATAGACCACAAAAATTAGACTGAGGACAGGACCACTCATTACCATGACTACGCTGCCTGAAGGGTGGCATTTAGGTGACCTTTCACAAGCCCATATCAATTATCTGCATAGTTTAAGTCGATTGTTCATTGGCCACTTCTGATGTTATTGTCTCGGCTATGAGACTACATAGCGAAATCACATCTTTGAGAAAAATAGTAATGCTTAGTAGTACTTAATACTCTTCCGTACTTATGAATGAGATACGGATATGTCAACCTGTGCCTGGGATTCTTGCTATACCTGTGCTTGATCTTCTGCATTCCTATATCAGGGACAGTTTCCTTCCCTGTTCCATTCTGTGTTGTCCTATAGCTGTAGTGAAGTGTTCAAAAGAATACGTTGGGTTCAGCTGGGGAGGATAAGAGGATATGTGCTTGCACCACACACACACACACAACCTACCTACCTACCTACCTACCTGTGTTGAGCAGGAACGGCTTAAGGGACTTTGAAGTGTGTTCCAATTGAGAGTAAGCTAGTAATAACATTCAGACAAACATACCGTACTTTTCCATCTATAAGATGCTCCCAGTATAAGATGCTCCATATTTGGGGGGACTCAAATTTAAGAAAATTAAGGGAAATGGCTCAGAGTTGTTGAGCTTTTTTTTAGGGGGGGTTGCCGAAAATTGCTCACCCACACGTGTGGCAAAATCCACCTCCCATCACCAGCAGAATCTACCAATCGCACGCACAACAGCCAGAGCGGCAGCCAATCAACACCACCCACTGACACATCGACCAATAGTACACACAATAGCTGCTGGCAGCCGTGACAGCAGCCAATCAAACGTCCACCCTATGCACTACCTATGTATACGACGACCCCCATTTTTTAGCATGATTTTTTAAAAATAAAATAACATAGTCTTATACACAGAAAAGTACGGTAAGTTCCCTTTAGGTTGAGGTGTGTCATCATGTGTTCACCCAGTTATCAGTTTATTATGTCTTGTACTCAGTATTCAGAAAGTGGTGTCATAGGTTGTGGGTCATGGTTATGAGCAATTTTTACTCATTTATAATAGACTTCCTGCATTTTAATTCTACAAACATTTAGCCAAATTTATAACACAGCCCCCCACAATAAAAACCACCACCCCCTAACCTAGAAAGTAATAGTTGCCTGTGTTTTTGTTGTGTGTGCATATAGTGAGGGAATTTGAGGACTTGCAGGTATGTAATAAATTCTAAAGCCCTGTTAGTCTGAGCTATGCATTACCCTATTTCATGGTCAAATTTGGCATAATTTCACAGTACCCCCCAAATAAATATCTCACAATTAAATATAACATGTTTATTATCATAAGGGGGACATTAAGGGTGGATTGAATCTCATATAAATTTGTAACAGCAAGGCAAAAATATAGCTTTGACAAAACATATTGCAGAATTGGCTGTATCCCTGAACTCAATGAACTCACTGAAAGCATCAACACTGAATGTGCAGATATTCAGAAATATTGGGAAGTACTGGTACATCTGAAATTATAGAACTAGGGGTATTTAATAACTTCTCTATCTTTTTGTCCTATTAAATAATATTTACATATGATGGTTGCATGTGAAATTATATTTTCTCTTTTCTATATTACATAGCCTAGGTTCCTGAACTATGAGTCCATTTACTTATTACCTTTCTGCCCTAATGTTCCTCTGAGGAGTCATCCCTTCCTCCCTCCAAGGAGCACATGGTACCCACCCACTATTTTATACAAATCCAGGGTGGAGTCCCTAAGACAGTTGGATGGTGCCTTGAATGCCTCCTGCTGGCTGCTCCTGAAACCAGGCTAGTGCCATACGCATTGCTCTGCTTTCCTTTGGACTATATCAGTGAGCAGGGCTGTCTTACCCATAGGCGCTAGGTGTGCGGGGCACCCGGGCACAGGGCTCTGAGAGGCGCTGGACTGAGAGTCCGGGGCCCAAGAGTTGAGTCTGGGTAAGAGCCTGCCCATCGGTTGGAGCACTGCAGCTGGCTCTTCTACCGCAGGCGGTTCTGTGCCACGAGTTTGGGGGCAACCAAGCCAGCGAGACATTGAGGCTGCTGGCCAGCTCCACCCTCCTGCACGCCTGGGACTGGGAAACCTGGGGGGGGCACCGGGCGGACCTTTGCACCCCTGCGCTGCATGTGCTTAAGACAGCCCTGTCAGTGAAGCTGAGGGGGGAGTCTTGTTGTCTGGGCAGCCCAGGACCTCCATCCACGCTGCCCAGGCTTGCACCCTGGGAAGGTCGCTTCAGTGATGCTAAAACAGGGGTTTGACCCCCAAAGGCACTCTCCATTGTCTTTTGAAGCAGATGGATGCTAGATTCACTACTTCTTCATAAACCTGGAGTGGTTCATCAACCACTTGCAGTATTTGCAACCTTTTTATGAACTGTTGATTTCTAGGTATAAACACATTGTTATTTTATTTTTTGCCATTAATATCAATAGTTCCATCATTTCATTCTTCTTATAGAACATACAAAGCATGAAATCAGGCAAGCTGTATCCAATTTATGCCTGCACATAAGTTAGTTTTCACTCTGGCTTGGATCCAAAGTGGAAGACACTTATATCCATGCAAGAGTGGAGAGGGCTCCAATTTGTCCCAGTCCTCCTTTTTTTGCTGAAGTTACTCGACCAAACTCTGTATTATTCTGAAGGGTCCCCCAACTTTCAGGATGAGCTCACCAGGGGTCCACAGAGATCCAGTGACAGGGGAAAGTTGAGAAAGTGCTGTTCTATGAGCAGAACACTGCTCACATATTTCATAGAGATTGTATAAAAAGAATAGGATTTCTACGTTGGAGCAGAACTGTCCCACTTTCAGATCTAGGAAAGGCCTTGGACGTATGGTGATTTTATAGAGGAGGAGAGAATCTCCCCTCTCCCACAGAAATTTCTGCTCAAATTTTCTTGTGCCAAGGAAAAATTATCTGTCTGGCATCAGAATGAGGCACAGTTGATCGTAATGTAGATTGCACTATATCAACAGAAGGCATATCATTTCATGCCAAGTGGCATATACATCAGCTGTGATTCGTCATTCCTGTGAAATGTGGTGTTTCCCACAGAGATGTCATTTCTTATGAGAAAAGCATGGAGCAACATCATGCACATGAATAAAAGTTCTGAAATAGAAGCAACCCACACAATGACAAATGGCTAGCAACTTACTCATAAAACCTATTTCTGCATGCCCACATAGGTTGGATGAACACACACACACACACACACACACAACCTGTTCTTTGCATTCACCTGCAGAAGAATGTCTATTATTTCTTCTCTGCTATCTGTAGCAATTGTCAATTCCTCTCCATTTTCCCCCCAATACACAACAGTGACTACACAAACCACTTGGTTTTCACAAACTTTCATTGTAAATACTCAAGCGCTTTGAGGGGCCTTCTGTTTTATTGCTTGCAAATAAAGGAATGCTTGCAAAATCAAGATTGCATAGGCTGACTTCCTGTACCTCCTGTCGCTGGCCCTCCTTGTAACCAAAATAAAGCATTTACCTTGAAGTGGGAGAAGGCAAGGCTGGCTGAAGACATTTTGCTGCCCCAGGCAAAAGGATGAGATTATGTCTCTCTCTCTTCCAAGTACCAGATTTGATTACAAGGAGCTGCCTTATGCCAAACCACACCATTGGTCTGTCTAGCTCAGCACTGTCTATACTGAATGGGCAGTGGCTCTCTGAGATTTCAAGCAGGGGAAATTCCAGCCCTACCTGAAGATGCCAGGGATTCAACCTGGGACCATTGGCATGCAAAACAGATGTTCTACCACTGAGCCACAGCCTGGTTCAAGTAAGCTGAATCTTATTTCAGTACTGTAAATGGGGAAGTGTCCTCCACTGTACCTGAGGAAAGCAGCATAGCCACAAGGGCAGGCCACATGCAACATACAACACTGTCCTGCAACCTTTCATGATGCTCCCCAGAGGCAGATTTAGGGTATTGCGACTAGTTTTGCTGCAGCGGACACTGAGGCCTCCAGCTGTTTTGGGACTGCAACTCCCATCACCCCTAGCTAACAGGACTAGTGGTCAGGGATGATGGGAATTGTAGTCCCAAAACAGCTGGAGGGCCGAGTTTGGGGGTGCCTGGTCTAGAGAGTGCCACAGGGTGTTACAACTAGTGAACTGAGCAGAACGGAAGGCGAGAAACGTCAAATGTTGGCCTCGCTCAGGGCGCCACTGAAAACTGAAAGGTCAAAGTCTGGCCCTGTGTTCCCTCAGCATCAGCTGCCTGAGGTGGCTGCCTCACTCTACCTAAGGGTAGGTCTGGTCTTGGGGCAAGAGGGCTTAACTGGTGGGTGACTACCTGCCTCCATAATTTGAATCCATGCTGTCTTCTGTACCCACAGAAATATAGTGTTCTGCTGGAACCAAAACTATAGATGGCCAGCATATTGTGGTGAGCTGGGTTCCCTCCCACTCCCAATTCATCTGGTTACATCTCTTCTGAATGTAGAAAACAGCTTGACTAAGCCTACAATCAAGCACCTTCTTCTGTACCCTTGGAGTAAGCCCCATGGAACTCAGTGGAGGTCTTGCATCTCGGCACAAAAGCCAATGGATCACCCTGCAAGTTAGCTTATGCAAACAAAAAATGAAGGGAATTGCCATCTTAAAACAAACACACACACACATCACTGTGTGGAAATGAAAACCTCTTTACTGCAGCAGTGATGGCTGTTTCAGATCAGACTTTTCAAGAGACATGGCAAATCTCCATTCTTAATCCATGGCACCAGAAAAAAACACACCAAAATGTTCCCAGAATTAATAAAAGTATATTTATACCCTCTTTTGAGTCCCTTTTATACAATACGCTTTATATTTTAACGGCATCATTGCGTTGCACAAAGAGTTTTATTATTATGCTTTTCTGAGTGGCTGGCCAGCTGTGTCAGTGCCGCCTTTCCTCCCCTTTTACAAGCAATGAAATCTTATACAATTCTGATATAATGCTTCGCTTTCGTTTGGATATTTCACGTTAAAGAATTGGAGGGCTTTTCCGTTCTTGGAAGGATTCTGTTAAGGATAGGATTCAAACACTGGCAATAAATTGAAAGAAAGGCAATCTGAAGCTATAATCTATCCTATAAAACCCCCTGCTGCGGCCTTGTCCCCTGGGAATGACTGCTTCGGAAAATCTCATGGCACAGAAAAGGACTTGCCAATCCAAGTTGCCACAAAGGTAACCTAGGAAAAACTTAAGGATGGGTCGCTGAAGATCAGAGTTCATGTCAGGAATGTCAGTGAACTGATACAATTTGTTCTTTGCTCACAGCTCCTCCAGGCAAGGAAGCAAGCAGCTATTCTGAGCTCCTTTTGGGACCAAAGACACTTCTTTAATTAGTCTAATTGAATAAATGAATGCCATAATGGCTGGATTCCTGACAGAGGCTCTGCAAGAGCAGCATGAAAGAGGAAATCTAAAAGAAACCAAATGCCTCTAATGAAAGCATTTTTTTTAAAACAGAGGCTAAAATTAGCAAGGCAACCCTGCCTCAACCTCCGAAGCTGAGCAAATGCGTAAAGCTAAATGTGAGGAGAGAAAAATACTGCAAATTGCTTCAAAAAGGTCAATGAGAAAACACAAAGCAGGTAGCCTGTGACCAGGCACAAGTTCTTGTTTTCCTGACAGACTATCCCAGTGCCAAACCTAAATGTGAACCAGCCCCAACTTCAGAGATTGCTCCTTGTTAAAGAACTATCCATTTTGGGATACCGTTTTGGCCATATTTCACACTGTTTGGTTTAAATATTTCTCAGACTCAGGATTTAATATACCCTCTAAGAATATTTGAGTTTCTTTTCATCTTCTTTTGCTTATTAATCATATGGTACAGCTTTTCTCTGAAGTGTGTTTGCACAGCTGCAATATGCAGATGCTAAACAGCAAATAAATAAAAAAACCCAGGGTCCTGGGGGTGAATGTACAGATGGACATAGTAAATGTCCATATATCAAAATTTGGGTCAATATATATTCATTGGTCTACAGTTTTGCAAAGCCACACATGGACTGGGATAAAAAAACGTTTCTGGAACCAATTCAATCTAAACTGAAGTAAGCCTTTACCCCCACTTCATTTTCAGGCTATGAAAAATGGCTTTCTTGTATGACCAGGCTGTGATGTTTTGCTTTGGGGAAAAGCTGTGTGCATGGTTGTGTGTGTGTGTGTGTGTGTGTGTGACACAGAGGGAGAGATAGAGAGAGAAAGAGAGTCAAACAGATAGAGAGATAGAATAAGGAAGAGAGAGAGAGAGATTCAATTCTCACATAATGCTAAACCAAACCATGGGTTAGCACAAAAGATGAAATGTGCACATTTTTGAAGAGACCACAGCTGGTTTGCTCCTCCTGCTAAGCCAAACCATGGCTTAGTGTGAATGAGTAATAGTGCAGGATCCCAAGGAGAAGATTACAGCTGCTTTACTTCTCAGTCAGTCCTGCTGCTCCCATGCTGTTGTGAGTTAAACTATGGTTTGAGTTAGCATTAATTCCTGGATCCAGGGGTAACTCACTGCAGGCAAACTTAACTCACTCCAGGTAAAGTATGAGCTGTAGCCAAGATTTGTTCTATGGTTTGCCACTTGCAGTTGGTCTGGCAGAGATAAACAACTAGTTTGGGTTTGGTTGTAACATGAAGCTAAACCATAGTTTAGCTTTGCTCAAAGCAATGTGGCAGTAGTAGGCCTGGCAGAAGAGCAAACTGATCATGATATTCTCTCTAGAAACCAACGGGTTTGTTTGGTCATACTGTGCCATGGCTTGGCTTAGCATGAACTGGGCCTGTGATCAACAAATGAAGTTGAAGCAACAATTTATTATCATTTCATCTTTCCTCTATAACAGCAAGTAAGGTAAAACCAGTTTAATTAAGGAAATGTATTATTATTATTATTATTATTATATTTTTATTCATTTTCAAATACAAATTTATATAACCAATATCAAATTTTATCACATAATCTTCTTTTTTTTTATTTCCCTCAGTTTCTCTGCCAATCTTCCGTTTTGTTTATTTATTCACGCATTTTCTAATTTTAATATTGCCTTTGAAATATAACCTCCTCAGTCTTATTCCCTTTTTTACAATATTCCTCATATTTTCACAGAACATCTGGAAATACTACAAGCGTTGTCTGTTCATCACATAAACTTTTCAGATAATCTGTAATTTTTCCCCAGTCCTCGGTGAACTTCTGGTCTCGCAAATATCGAATCTTCCCTGTTAGTTTATCCAGTTCTGCAAAGTCCGTCAATTTCAATCTCCATTCTTCAACCGTCGGTAATTCTTCTTGTTTCCATTTTTGGGCCATGAGTATTCTCACCGCTGTTACTGCGTATTGGAAAAGTTTACAATCTTTTTTACATATTTCATTTCCTACAATTCCTAAAAGAAAAGCCTCCGGTTTCTTAACAAATGTATATTTCAACATCTTTTTCAATTCATTTTAAATCATTTCCCAGAAGCCTTTCACCTTTTTACATTCCCACCACATATGATAAAATGTCCCTTCTTTTTCTTTACCCTTCCAACACTTATTACACGTTTTATACATTTTTGCAAGTTTTACTGGTGTAATATACCATCTATATACCATTTTCACAACATTTTCCTTTAACGCAGTACATGCCGTAAATCTTAATCTTTCATTCCATAATTTTGTCCAATCATCAAATTGTATATTATATCCAAAATCTCTGGCCCAATGTACCATCACCGATTTAACTTCCTCATCTTTTGTATACCATTCCAGCAACATTTTTGATAAAATTTTGTAATCATTACTTAGTATTTCTGTTTGAAATTTTGAGTCTTTTTCCACATAACCGCACTCTTTAATATCCTTTTTAAACATTTCATTAACCTGATAATAATGCAACAAGGAAATGTATTATTAGCCTGTTGCAAAGAAAGACTGAACATGCTTAGAAAGCCTAGCGATTAAGTACCATATATATGTATTAATAAATAAATATCTTACTAAATTAGGTGATTATATTTAATATGGCTCTACATGCACACATAGTTGCCAAAGCCAGAGCAATTTTCATGAAATTAAATGCTGTGTGTTGTATCCAACCATGTCCCTTTGCTCATTGAAAGAGCAGTGTGCATTGCACCATATCTCCCACTCAGGCATTTACAATGCCTGAAGTGGCCTAACATCTTAGATGAAGAAATCTATGAATCACAGAGCTGACCAAAATTGGTAGCCAGATAAATAGGAATAGAGTCATACTGCTCTAAGCACAATCGAGCTGACAAAAAGTGAATTGAGACAAAAAAGAATTTGTGATTGATCAGATCAACCGCTGGAAGTTAGTTCCATGCATGAATTAAAATTGATTAACATACCCACCAGGACCCACTGGCAAATGAAGAACTGGTTTTGGAAGTGATCTAAGGAAAATTAAACTTGTGAAGTGTCAAAATAAAATTGGAAATCTCAAGCTATTTGGGACTGGTCTTTCAGGTCTGGGACCAGAACAGAGGCAGAAATATGAATTCAAATATGAATTCAAAGCTGGCAGGACCAGGATTAGAGCACTTTGGGATGAAAAAATCTATCAATTTCCAGTCCATGTCAGTTGTGCCTGGAATAGTTCGTTCCTAAATTGGTTTTGTCTGCATTAATCTGCTTTAATGATAAATTCTAAATTCCTTCTATCTATTTGCTTTCTGACACTCTTAACGAACTCTAAATGGTTAGTTTCATTTAAAATGCCATTGCTGAGTTTTTGTGGGAGATCTTACAACCTCTATAAACTTTTCAGGAG